ATTATATTCAAATTTATATATAATTAATTTTTTAATCATTTCTCTTCCCTTCACTCTCTTTCTCTTTCTCTGCAGTTTTATAAGCTTTTTACCATCGTTCCTTTTTGAACAATTTAGACGATATTCAAATTGTTTTTTCCTATTAATTGCATTATTACAACAAATTCCTGATGTCTCACCGACGGGTCGCTACACAACACTGGTACCGTTAATATTCATTTTATCTGTGAGCGGTATCAAAGAGATCGTCGAAGACATTGTAAGTAAATTTGACTGGAAAAAATGGAATTGAAAATATAACAATTATTTTGTGTTGTTGTCGTTTTTGTTATTGTAATCGTAGAAACGTCATCGTGCGGATAATGAAATCAACCATCGTATGGTGGAGGTGTTACGCGATGGCGCTTGGACGTCGGTGCGATGGCGTGATATCGGTGTTGGCGATATTGTAAAAATACCCAATAATATATTCTTTCCCGCTGATATATTGTTGTTGTCGTCGAGGTGAGTGTTTTATATTTACAAATAAGATATTTTGGAGGCAGTGTAAACTTTAGAGAGAGCTTTTAGGTTTGTCGGGGTTAGTTAACCACCTCAGTTTTTGAGTTATCGGTCTGAAATATTTGCACGAATTATTGTCTAAGACATTTCTATAACCTTTGAACAAATTATTTAGATCGGACCAATATGGACTAAAGCTGCCATATGAACAGACCGACCAAAATCAGGTACTTGTATGAACAACTTTTAAATTTGACGAGATATCTTCACGAAATTTGGCACGAATTATATTCCAAGGTGTGCCTATAATCTTCGCAGAAATGGTTCAGAGCGGTCCACTATAACCACTATAACATATAACATATAGCTGTCATACAAAGTGACCAATTCAAATCAGATAAACAATTTATTGTAAACTTTTAAGCACCTGTAAAGGGTATTTTAGCTTCGATGTGACCGAAGTTAACGTTATTTTGTTGTTTTGAAAAATTTCGACTTCTCATCCGAAAACTCTTATCTTTTACTTACCGATGTCTCATATTTCCATTTAATTTTCTCTTATCACAGTGAACCGCAAGCGATGTGCTTCATCGAAACCGCAAATTTAGATGGTGAAACCAATCTAAAGATACGGCAGGGTGTGCCAGCGACTGCGAAATGCCTGGAAACTAAGGATCTGCTGCTGCTGGACGGCACCGTGGAATGCGAGCTGCCAAATCGACATTTGTACGAATTCAATGGCGTACTCAAGGAGAATAATAAGCCGTAAGTTTTTACTAAAAAATATGTCCACATAATTGCATAACTGTTTCTATCTCTTTTCTCTCTCTCTCTCTCTCTCTCTCTCTCTCTCTCTACCACTCTATAGCACCGTTGCTCTTGGCCCCGATCAGATATTGCAGCGCGGCGCTGTTTTGCGCAACACCGCTTGGATATTCGGCGTTGTCGTCTACACCGGACACGATACGAAACTTATGAAAAACTCTACCTCAGCGCCATTAAAACGCTCAACCGTTGACACCGTAACGAATACGCAGATACTGATGCTCTTCGTTATATTGGTCGTTTTATCGTTGACCAGTGCGATATTGAACTTTTTCTGGACGCGCGATTATGCGAAAATGTTTTGGTATTTGGGCATAAGTGGTGAGTATGAGAGAGTTATTGTTTAATTTTACAGAAGCACCTTTCTCAAGTAGACCCCGGTGGGCGACTGTGGTTCTAAGAACTTTTGATAACATTATTGTAAGGATACATGAAATGGTTGCCCGCAGAGATCCATCTGCGTTCCATGATCATATGATGGACATTTTACTTTGCGGCTCGAGTCCCTCTGTAAATATTGTATGTATGCGAACGACATGCTCCTTCCGGCGATTCGTTGATCTCGGTCAGATTTAGAGCGGGTGGGAGGACAATTTTTAGAAATTGTAAACTATTGGAACTTAGATGTTGGGCTTCCTATATCGATGGTCAAAACGGTTTAGGGTAAGTTGTCGCCGATTCGTCCACCGATTGGCGGGCTGAATGGGGTCAGCATTAGGCATGGGACGTTAGTCGTTGCATGATACTTGCATATTTGCTTGTAAGACACGCCGTTTCGACGGATGCGATGCAGATTCATCGAGGCATGGTGTCGCGTCGACAGTTCTTGGCCGATTGAATGCACGTATTTACAGAATGCCCGATGTAATCGGACTTTAGAAATCCCGTGGGTATGGAATTAGCCGAACTGATGAACGATTGTATGCTAGCGGTGTGATCTCGTTTCACGTTTCACGGGAATTAGGGTTAACCTCTGTGTGAACGGTGTGCGGGGGTTCAAACTCTGGTCTCCCGTCCAGCGCAAAGTATGGAAGGTCAACTGTTAGTAGTTTCGGCTACGAGGTCTGACCGAAGACTCAATCCTGTACCACGGGGAGTAGGAGCCTTTGAATAATTTAATAATTTAATTAATTTTTAAGAAAATCCACACTTAGTAAAATTTTACAAATATTTTTTATGATTTCAGAGGACATCAAAAGTAAAAACGTTGGCTATAATTTGTTGACATTCTTTATTCTCTACAATAATCTTATACCGATATCTTTACAAGTGACTTTGGAGTTAGTACGTTTTTTACAAGTAAGTGTCTTCACTAACTAAATATTTTTGTTAGGTTCAGTTCGATGACTGATCCTCAATATGGGAATCACACTTGGACTACCTTATATTATTAAAGCCATATAAATAGAACTCTGTATTCGTGCTAAAAATTGCAAAATTGTTTTATAAAATTTCCTTACACTATTCCACCATAGGCCATCTTCATCAATTTCGATATACACATGTACTATACGGAAACCGATACGCCGGCCATGGCGCGCACCTCGAATCTTAATGAGGAACTGGGCATGGTGAAGTATATATTCTCCGACAAGACCGGCACACTAACGCGCAATGTGATGGTGTTCAAAAAGTGTTCGGTGGCGCGTTATATGTACGAACCAGCAAACTCTCCCGAGGACTCGACGATTGTGCAGGCAAGTCTTTCAACTCTTTCAACACTCCAGTAATTTTATTTCAGTAACCAATAACTAAAAACGCCACACACAGAATTTACTCGGCAATCACAACACTGCGCCCATCATCAAAGAATTCCTCACACTGCTCGCCGTTTGTCACACGGTCATACCGGAAAAATTCGATGACGGCTCCATTATCTATCACGCCGCCAGTCCCGATGAGCGCGCCATCATCGAGGGTGCGCGCATGTTTGGCTACATTTTCGAATCGCGCACACCGCACTATGTGGAGATTAATGCGCTCGGCACCATCGAGCGCTATGAGATACTCAATGTACTCGAATTCACTTCGACGCGCAAACGCATGTCGGTCATAGTGCGTGCGCCAACCGGTGAGATTAAACTCTTTTGCAAGGGTGCCGATACGGTGATCTATGAGCGACTCTCACCCGATGGTCAAATGTATCGTGATGCGACTTTGCATCATTTGGAAGAATTCGCTTCGGAGGGCTTACGTACTTTGTGCTGTGCCGTTTCGGTGATACCGGAGGAAGTATATAACGAGTGGAAGGAGACGTATCACAAGGCGTCGACGGCGTTGCAGTATCGTGAGCGCAAAGTGGAGGATGCCTCCAATTTGATTGAGAACAATTTGATATTGTTGGGTGCGACCGCAATTGAAGACAAACTGCAGGAGGGTGTGCCAGAGACGATAGCCTCACTGCTGGAGGCGGGCATTTATATTTGGGTGCTGACGGGCGATAAGCAGGAGACAGCGATCAATATCGGCTACTCATGCAAACTCATTTCACACTCAATGGATATTATTATACTCAATGAGGGCAGTTTAGATGTAAGTTGGATGGTTGCTGTTGCTAAAGATTCATGTCTATAAAAAGTGTTGTTTTGCTTTACAGGCCACACGTGATATTATACACCGCCACGTGGACGAGCTGAAGAGCACGGATATGAAAGAGTGCAATGTGGCGCTGGTAATCGATGGCCAGACGTTGAAGTATGCTTTAAGCTGTGATCTGAAGCAGGAATTTTTGGAACTCTGCTTGGTGTGTCGTGTGGTGATCTGCTGTCGTGTCTCACCAATGCAAAAGGCGGAGGTAAGTCGGACTGATATTCAACTACATTTCAATTAATGCATATTCTAATCCATCTTTAACATCACCCTTCCAGATCGTCGAATCTGTCACACAATCCACCGGTGCCGTAACACTCGCCATTGGTGATGGCGCCAACGATGTGGCCATGATACAGAAATCTCATGTCGGTGTTGGTATTTCGGGCGTTGAAGGGCTGCAGGCAGCTTGCGCTTCCGACTATTCGATCGCACAATTTCGTTACTTGAAACGTTTGTTGTTGGTACATGGCGCCTGGAATTATAGTCGCATTACAAAATTGATCCTCTACAGTTTCTACAAGAATGTCTGTTTATATGTGATTGAGTTGTGGTTCGCCATCTACTCGGGTTGGTCGGGTCAGATTCTGTTCGAGCGTTGGACGATCGGTTTATATAATGTTATGTTTACCGCTTTGCCGCCATTTGCATTGGGTCTCTTCGATAAAGTTTGTTCGGCCGAAACGATGCTGAAATATCCGCAATTGTATAAACCATCACAGGATGCGAAGCTCTTCAATGTCAAGGTGTTTTGGGTATGGATATTCAATGCGCTTTCGCATTCCGTATCGCTCTTCTGGCTGCCGATGCTGATGACGACGCTGTCCGTGTGGCCGGATGGCAAAACAAGTGATTACCTCTTTTTGGGCAATATTGTGTACACGGTAGGTGCTGACATGAATTTGTTGTTGTCTTATAGTTTACTGTTTTCAATTTTTTTTTGTTTTTTTTTTAATTTTATATTTTTTTTATTTTCATATTTTTAATACAATTTTTCATTGTTAGACTTACCTAGACTTGTTTTACCTTATTTACATTTATGTTCTTCCTCTCTTTACCAGTATGTCGTCGTAACGGTTTGTCTCAAGGCCGGCCTTATCACCAACTCATGGACCTGGATGACACACGCCTCCATTTGGGGCTCAATTGCTATGTGGTTCCTGTTCATGGTGATCTATAGCAACTTCTGGCCCACGATAATGTTGGCGCCGATCTTTTTGGGCATGGATCGTATGGTGTTTTCGACCGTGGTTTTCTGGCTGGGCCTCTTGCTCATACCCATAACGACGCTTCTGCCCGATATTCTATTCACAATGTAAGCTAGCTTGTTTATTGTATTTGTTGTTGTAATTTTCTAATAAATTTTTTAATTTCTCTTGCAACAGTGTACATAATACCGTATTCAAGTCGCTCACGGAGGCCGTACGTGAGTCAGAGATACGGCGTTACGATCCTGAGAATGTGATACGAGAATCGAAAACATCGTGAGTAGCGCATAAAAATATATTTTTTTGAACTGTGTTACAAAATTGGTTGATAAAAACCCCTTTTTCTGGAAATTTAAATGTGTGGCTTGTGAATGTGTGAGGTTTTTCTAATTGTAAATATTATACATTTTTTGTTGTAATACAAAAAACAACTCTAACAAGTTTTTTGGCTATTTTTTATTTTTCAAAAATAATTTATTTACGAGAAAACTATAAATTACCAGCAGGGGTGCAAATTATTTATAAAAAAATTATTGAATTAACATTTTAATTTTTTTG